GGAAGCATAAACATGTGATTTGCTAACAGGACAACACTCCCTAAACAGAGATAATTGCTGCAACTTTTGGGATATGTCCAAAGTTTAAAGACATTCAGCAACAGAGAAACGGCCTCTGTTTTGACAATGGGGTAAGGAGAAACGTGCATCAACACTACCCTTGGGACTTTTTTGTGTTGGTGTTTTATTACATTTTCAAATCAGGAGATTCAGTCCAATTACTATCCCAAGTTGGATGGAGTATGTATATCACAAGAAGAGCTTGGATTTATACCCTGCCCTTCACTACCCAAAGGAGTCTCAGAGCAGCTTACAGTCTCCTTTCCCTTCCCCTCCCCACAACAAACACCCTGTGAGGTAGGTGGGGCTGGGAGAGCTCTTTCAAGAACTGCTCTTGAGAGAAATAGCTCTGAAAGAAATTATGACTGACCCAAGGTCACACCAGCAGCTGCATGTGGAGGAATGGGGAATCAAACCTGGTTCTCCCAGATTAGAGTCCACGCTCTTTACTACACCAAACTGGCTCATGAATATTCTGAATTCCATTGGCTACAATTAGTTACCAAATTCAATTCAAGATACCAGTAGTTTATCACCTACAAAGCCCTTCCTAGCCTAGGTCCTGCATATCTGCCTCTCCTAATATGCCCCACTGTGACAGCACTGCCCATTTGAGCAAGGCCTTTTGAAAGTGTCATCCTGTGAATGGGTACAAACAGTTGCCTGAAGAAGAGCATTCTCCCATCTAGTGGAACAGTCTGGATGAGGAGGTCAGGATAAGTTCCTATGTTCTTTTTACTCTGCAGCATTTGAGAAACTACATATGCACAAGCTGTATTCCAAGCTCTCACTGACAAAGAAAACAGTCAGAGAACAACCACACTTTGCCAACAATATACAACTTTCACTGATAGGGTTGCCAAGTCTTACCTGCTGCTGGAGCGGAGGGCTCCTGGCTTGTTCCTGGAGCGTGCGGGCGCCGCAACCCCATCACCCGGAAGTGACGCGACCACGCCGAGCATGCTGGGGGCGGGGCCACGACCATCCAAGGGAAAACCATAGAGTGTTCCCTCAGATGACCATGGCCCCACCCGCAGCGTGCCCAGCGTGGTCACGTCACATCCGGGTGACGTGCAAGTCGCGTACTTTGGAGGTGGGGTTCCCCCCGGGGCCCGATCCGCCACCGGCGGGGAACGGGACTTGGCAAGCCTATTCACTGACCTTGGGTGTCAAGTGCCACCAAGACCAGACAGGGCATGAGTTGCAACAGAAAAGATCTGAACCCACCATTTCTGACATCTGAAGCCAGCCACTGTCCTGCACTGACCCAAAGAGCAACATGCAAGCAAACAACTGTTTGGAAAATGTTTTAAGGTTTTGCAGGGCACTGCTGCAGTTCTCAAATTTCAGGGCAAAGAACCCCAGACAATACAGCATGAAGGTGGTGGGGGAAAGAGATGCCAAAATTCTTAGAAGAAGGATCCAAAAACCTTTTCTTCCAAGCTGCAAAGGTTTTAGCCCCTGGTCCCTGAACTGCTGTGCTGATTTCACAGAAGCAGGAAAGTCCCCCTGGCTTTTCTGCTGCCTTTTGGCTCTGCTGTTTCAAGGGAGATATCTGCTAAGCGAGAATGCCCTTTGATAGCTTTTTGTGAGCAAAGCCCATTTGATGGCACAGTAAGACTTTAAGGAACCCACAAGACATTCATTTGTGCTAGAAGCCAAGGAGAAGAGACCTTACCCATGGGAGTGAGTGTTTTTTAAAGCCGTGGGCTTCAGCAACTCAAGTCAAGCACTCCAGCGACAAACCATCTAAAGCTTGTTATATTTTACTTAATATTTGTTGCCTGGATTCTAAAGGTGATTCAGGGAAGAGATAATCCAGAACACCCTCCCTGCTGCCCAGACAACTCCCTCTTCAGTCAGGGCGTGCCCTGCTGGATGGCCAAATATGAGAAGGACCCAGGCAGAGTGAACAGAAAAGCTAATTTACCAAATTTACCAAATACTGCAACAACAGATGACACAAGAAAACACCAATGCTCACAGAGCAGATTACAGTTTCACAGGGCAAAACTTCCAGGAAGAGAAACCAGCTAGAAAACAAAGTTCCTTAATGCAATTGTCTTACTCGATTCTGACCCCTACTTTAATGCCCAGCTTCAGGGACTGAACACCCTATTCCATGCAAAGCCACACAGGCTCTCTCTCCTCAATACTCATTGGTTCTGTCCTGGTCACAATCAGCGTTCCCTCTAAACCGAGGTAGTGTGAGCTAGCTCACAATTTGTTAGCCTCCGGCACACACATTTTTGTCTTAGCTCAGGAAGGATGGCTCCAGAGCAAACTGATTAATGCAGCAGCCAAATCGCTTGCTCACAACTTTAATGTCCGTAGCTCACAAAGTAGAATTTTTGCTCACAAGACTCCACAGCTTAGAGGGTGCACTGGTCACAATATATGAACTGGCATCTCCCATTTCCAGAAGGATTCCAAGTAATCTGAACAACTGGATCTTGGATGCTGAAACTGAACAAAAGTCAAGGGAAAGGAGACCAGTGTCTTCTTTTGCATCGCATCATTTCAATCACCGGCAGAAATGTACAGAAGTCTCAGAATCAGTAAAGGACAACTATTCTTCTCGTAAAGTGGGCAACACAGAGAGGTATGGGAAAATGGGGTGTTCACTGGATTAGTCCAGAGATCACCCAGGTTATCACAGACCATTCCTTGCTACTCCAATCAGGGCTCTTCCAGGAGACTATGATTTTATGAAGCAGACAGGGGGAGGGAGGAAAGAGAAACTGCAGAGGGTGACAGTCTGGAAATCCCACACCTACCCTTCATGAGCTCTCCATTCAAGATTCTCTAAACTCCCTGAAGTCTGAACAGGCAAACCAGCCTCCTTCTGTTTTCTCCATTTATCGATTTTACAAAATTTATATCCTGCCCTTCTGCCCTCACACAACTGACTCTCAAAAAGCTCTCAACCTTCCATCCCTTCTGGAGCATGCTCAGTCATCACTGGCTATTTACAGAGTTTTATTGCTTTTGATTTACGTGCAAATAAGGTCACATTTTTCTGTAGATGCTTTGGGGCTCCCCAGCTATAGATGCCCCGTGGGCAGCTAGTCAGTATACTGCTAGATGCTGTGATCAGACACATGTGTGAGCACATGTTCTGGACCACATGACTATTTCCCAAACATCTCTCTAGTTACGTAGGGAATTTCTCTTTGCCACCCTGTCATGATCTGGGCTGTGCAAGGACAGCCTAGCAGGCCTAGGGAGCCTGGCTAGCGGTAAGGGAGGCTGGGCCTACAAATCCCAGAAGGCCTTGGGAAGTTTTGGCGCCGATTTTGACCAATAGGGAAGAAGAGGGCTGGGGAATAAGAGAACTGGTACAACAGGGAAAGCTTGTTCTTCTTCCCAGGGAACAGAGCCAGAAGGCAGGCTGCTGTGGGGAAAAAAACCCTCATCCTGAGGGAAGGGTGAGTAGTCTAAGGCCACTTGAGATAGTGAGCTAGGGACAGTATATATTTAGACGCGTTAGGGCATTTGATTTCTTTTCTTTTCACCCACTTACTGTTACTATTCTGCACCTTGTTTGTTTGACCTCCTATAAAACAAACTATTTTCATTGTTCACTCTGCCTGGTCCTCATGCCTAGTATTCGGCCAAAAGGGAGGTCTAAAGGCCTGGGAGAGTGCTCTGGGCCTTCTCAGAGAAGCCTGGAACCAGAGTGGTGGCAGCGTCAGGTGACACCCCACCTGAGCCATAACAACCCCCCCCACTCCCATTTAATTTCAAAGGTACTCTAAAACTGGGCTTCTGAACTGTGCTGTGAATGTTCCCCTCACCCCACCACTGAAAAATCCCCCCCCCCCAAACTGAAATATTTCCACTTTACTCCACCGTTACTCCTAACCTGTTTCGACTTCAGAATCTTCCCTTAAGTTTGTGTTTCTATCATGAAGAAGTCACAATATTCACTTAACTGGCTATCAAGGCAAACCCTTCACCAAGCAAAACAGGTATTACAAAACAATGAGATGGCCTTTCACCACTTTGCAATATTTGGGCTGGCTCCAGTTAAAAAAGATTAAGAAGTAATACATGGCAGATTTACAGGATTTCAGTAGCACTGTTCACTCTTATCCCAGGCACTAGCCAGACAGTCTCAGGTGATGGTGTTGCTCTACTCCCAGAAGGTCAACAAAACATCTCTTGTTAAAGGCAGCCTAACCTACCTCACAGTGCTGTTGGGAACATAAAATGGAGAAAAGAATGATGCATACAGCTTTGTGTCCCCATTGGGGAGAAGGGCAGGATACAAATGAAATAAATAGAAAAAATATCTAAATAAGGTAAAAATAGTCCTTCAGCTCTTCAATACTATCGTGTATATATATAGTGAGAGGGAGGGAGGGGTATGCATCTTCAGCATCCTAGATCATTGACTGTAAACAGTGTACATGGGCCCTGATGGGGGTACTCTACAATCATGAGAAGCATTTGGGATTTTAGGCAGCCCCTTCTCCCCACTCACAATAGCCTGTGATAGCCAGCAGAGGCAAGCTGGTTTATACAGCTCACCACACCCCAAGAGTAAAACCTCAAAGCTACACCACTGGACCTTTAAAAAAACAGTGGCGCTCAGCAAATCAGAATCAAACTTAACATTAAGGAGTTGGCTGATGGCCCTCAGGTACAAAAATTTCAGCAAGTGTGTGCCCGAGATCTGCATGCCATATGCATACATCAATAAACCTATATAAATGGCCTCATCTGAAGTGCTGTTTTGACGTCCTAATTTTTTTTAACTTGTGGCTTGACAGTGGGTTAAGAACTGCTGCTCTAGATTCCAATACTCTCCTTGCAGAAGTTAAAAGCAGTAGATTCAATTTCATTCCTTCTTAGCCCTGCCAGAAAGAGAGACCAAGAATCTTTGCCAGCATCCTCAGGCACCCAGCAGAGAGAAGAGATGCAAGAAACAGTCTTACCTTGGACGGAGCCCCTTTCTTTTCCTCCGGAGCAGCTTGCCCATTCTGCAAAGCAAAAGGAGGCTCAGTTACTACTAGCCAGCCAGCCAGCAGCAGATGCTAAACATCAACTTTTCCCATGTATCTTAGTCTTCCATGTCCCCTTCCATAAAACCTACTGAATGCTTCCTCAGCCACTCAAGCCTTTCTTCAAAAGGAAGATGCTCCATCTCGCCTTGCAACATGATATTTTTGCAAAGGCGGGGCAACCAGTGCTGCACACGGAGTTCTGAAGGCAGATAGATACCCCCCGGGTTTACACAACGCAGGCATTCCGGAACACACTGGTGTGCCATGGCAGGACAGACCATGTGCTGCACTGAAATATCTAGAAGGTCCTGAGGGCACTCAGGACACACCCAGAAAGGAGACCATCCACTGCATCTCTCCACAAGTCCCTGCCCTAAGGTCAGGCTCTTTCCAATCAGGAAGCACCGCCCCAGAACAGTGACCATGCAGAAAATCAAGGGGAGGGAGGGAGGGCTCCACGGCTCCTCCAAGAGCAGGTAATTCAAGCAAGTTGTTTGGAGCAACACACAAGTATGCCAGCATTGTGATCCTTGCATTTTAAAAAAATATTTTTTGCACTTTGTGTGCATGTGTGTGGCCTCTGGCAACCCCTACTGGGGCATGGAGGACAGTCAGAGAAGGGGCTTGATAGCCCTGCCTGTAGCCTCCTGGGCCCTGGATTCTCTGGAGGTCTCCCTTCCAAATACTTACCAGGGTTGGCCCTGCTTAGCTTCTGAGATCTGACGAGATTGGGCTTGCCTGGGCTATCCAGGTCAGGGTGATCCTTGCATTTTTTTTTAACATGACAATTGCATTTTTAATTGCCTAAGTTACCAGCCCAAATCATTCCCCTTTAGCTGGGCTGTTATCTGAGGGGTTATCACACCCTTTTGTTACTTCTTTGATGGCTTCTGTCTCACCCAGTTACAGGTTTATTACATTCTTAGCTGAAATAGTTTTCTCTCTCATTTATGACATTGAATGGTATTTTTATCCCCCAGTGGCTACAGTGCTGCTTTTTTTTTTTTTTTTAATCACAGACAGGTTTTGGTTTTTTGACTTTATCATTCAGGGACGGGCTCAGGAGCGGAAAACATGGAAGGTCCCAGGTTCAAGCAACTCCCATTCCAAACTGTCTTTTCTACACTGCAAACAACCAATGCCTCCCCCTCCTTGCAATTTTGTGTATTTGGGCAATCCCACAGCCGGCTTCCTCACACTTACTTGAGGAGATGCTACCTATTCCCTCTCACAGCATGGAAAAGGGAAAGCGCTCACTGCAGGACAGGTTCCAGTTCTCTGCACAAAGAGACTCACGTAGGTCAGTTGACTAAACATTCCTAGGTGTTTCTGTGTCAAGACAATCCTCCCTCCCAATATTTTCCTGGGTCTTGAGGTACTCTTCAGCAACCACAGGTTGTTGGCAAGTTTCCCGTGGAACACCAATGGAGAAGACGATGCCTACCCTAAGAGACCAATGGTCTGAGCTGGTATAAAGCAACTTCACACGTACACCATGGATTATTTTTACCGTTGTTTGCCCCCTTGGGTGGTGGGGGAAGAATAGAGGGTGGGAGTAAAAGGGACAGCAGAGTTCCCCCCTCACTGTCTCACCTCTCTACTGGTACTGGAGAATGCTCAAGCAAATACTGGAGAGCGACCCCTGAGTGGGGGGGCCACAGAGAGCTCCAAGGCCTTTACTGCCCTCAGCCTTTGGGGGGATTTGTGCCCCTCCCTATAACACCCAGGTCCATATATAGACCTGCACATGTCATGAGGCTGCACTGTTGTAACACCAAACGGTGTGTACATTCCACTTCAGCTGTGGCAAGTCACCACCAAAGTGCAAAGTTCTTGCCAGTTTGAAGGAAAGAGTTAACCACAGCACTCCATCATGACTCACCAAGCCTGCCGGGTGTGCCATAGGTAGGGAGTGTGCAGCAGAAGCTGCAGCAAGACCTTGGCAAGAGTTTTATCAGCTGGATTCTTGCCATGCACCTCAGGTACAAAGTCAAGCCAAGGAGAACAGATCTTGCCCATGGGAGTGAGTGTTTTTTTTAAAGCCGTGGACTTCAGCAACTCAAGTCAAACACTCCAGCGACAGACCATCTAAAGCTTGTTATATTTTACTTAATATTTGTTGCCTGGATTCTAAAGGTGATTCAGGGAAGAGATAATCCAGAACACCCTCCCTGCTGCCCAGACAACTCCCTCTTCAGTCAGGGCGTGCCCTGCTGGATGGCCAAATATGAGGTCTGAAGGACCCAGGTAGAGTGAACAGAAAAGCTAATTTACCAAATACTGCAACAACAGATGACACAAGAAAACACCAATGCTCACAGAGCAGATTACAGTTTCACAGGGCAAAACTTCCAGGAAGAGAAACCAGCTAGAAAACAAAGTTCCTTAATGCAACCCTCTTGATTCTTAAAAAGGTAAAGGTTCCCTTGCTCGAAAGCCAGTTGAATCCGACTCTAGGGTTGCGGTGCTCATCTCCGTTTCGAAGCCGAAGAGCCAGCGTTTCCGTGGTCATGTGGCCGGCATGACTAAACACCAAGGCGCACGGAACGCTGTTTCCTTCCCACCGAAGTGGTACCTATTTATCGACTTGCAATTTCTTGCTTTCGAGCTGCTAGGTTGGCAGGAGCTGGAACTAGAGATGGGAGCTCACTCCGTCATGCGGCACCCGGGTCTCGAACTGCTGAACTACCGACCTTCCACAGCCTGCAGTTCAGCGTCTTAACCACTTGAGCCACCACTTTACCACTACTTTAATATCCAGTCTCCTTCAGGCTCCAGAAGCTCCTCACTGCTGCCCAGCTTCAGGGACTGAACACCCTATTCCATGCAGTACTGCTGTTTCCTCCATCCTCCCCCCTCCAATCCTGGGAAATGTAGGCCAGCAGGAAAACTGGAAGCCAGCCCGAGGACTGGGTCTGAGGGAAAAGCTGTCTCGATGACTACAGACTAGGGTTGCCAGACTGTGCATATACTAGTGGGAGCTTGGGAGGGGGGCAAGAACAAAGAGGCAGTGTTGTGTACACAGTAGGGTCACTTCCTGGGAAACAGGAAGTGACATGCCACTCTAGGAATTGCCAGAAACTCTACGGTAAAGCCATAGACACTTCGGCAATTTAGAGAAGTATGTGGTGTCACTTTTGGGGGCAAACTCATAAGTGACATCATGCCACACCAGCATTTTAGGACAGCTCTGCCCCTCAGCCTCCCTCAGGCCTAGGATCATGAAAAGTGGGCTAGGACCTGGGAGACCCAGATTCCAACTTCCATTGGCCAATGAAGCTTGTTGTGGGATAGGGTTATCACGTTCCTGCCATAGGCAGGGGCGGGATTCCTTACTCTAGGGGGGGGGCACCAGTACTCCGGCAGGAGGGAATATTTTTTAGTTGCCACCATGTGACGGACAAACAGCATAACATCACTTCAGGTTTCCTCTGTAAATGACATCATGCCACTGCTCACTTTCCCTGTTGCCCCATCTCCCACTGAGGGACCATGAGTCAATCACTGTCTTAGTCTAATCTATATCACAGTGTTGTTGAGAAGACAAATTGGAGGAAAGACCAACGTATGCCAGCCTGAGCTCCTTCAAAGAAAGGGCAGGAAGACTATGTTAGACAAATATTCAGGTTGAGTAGGGTTACCAATTCTGGGTTGGGGAATTCCTGGGGATTTGGGGGTGAAGCATGGGAAGGGACTTCCAGTGGAGTATAATGAATATAAGAACGCTACTGTATCAGGCCAATGGTATGTCTAGCTCAGCCTCCTGTCTCGCACAGGGGCTAACCTGTTCCTCTGGATGGCCAACAACAGGGCGTAGAGGCTAAAGCCCTCCTTTGAAGTTGCCTCCTGAGGTTTCCTGCCTCTGACTGTGGAGGTTCCCTTTAGCCGCCATGGCTAGCAGCCACTGTTAGACCTATCCTCTACGAATCTGTCCAATCCCCTTTTAAAGCCATCTACAGCCATCAGTAAATCCTCTAGCAGTGTAGTCCACATTTTAATCACTCGTTGTGTAAATAAGTATTTCCTGTCTGTCCTGAATCTACTGCCCATCAGCTTCATTGGATGCCCTTGAGTGTTTGTATTTTGGAAGAGGGAGAAAAAGTTCTGTTTGTCAACTCCCTCCACCCCATGCATAATTTTATAAACCTCTATCATGCTCCCCACTAGTTGTCTCTTTTCAAAACTGAAAAGTCCCAGACTCTTCAGCCTTTCCTCATAGGGAAGGCACTCAGCCCCCCCAACCCTCTTCTTGATTGTCCTCTTTTGTCTTCTTGATTGTCTTCTTGATTGTCCTCTGATTGTACTTTTTCCAGCTTTGCTGTGTCTGTTTTGAGATACAGTGACCAAAACTGGACACAGTATTCCAAATGAGTCTGCACCATAGATTTATACAGGGCCATTATAATACTGGTTACTGCTATGAGGATCCATGGGTTGGTTATGAATGACCATGAATAATTTTATCTCTATTTTAAGTTTATGACCATTTATCAGTGTGCTTTCTGATGTGTAAGGTAAAGGTTCCCTTGCTCGAAAGCCAGTCGAATCCGACTCTAGGGTTGCGGTGCTCATCTCCATTTCAAAGCCGAAGAGCCAGCGCTGTCCGAAGACATTTCCATGGTCATGTGGCCGGCATGACTAAACACCAAGGCACACGAAACGCTGTTACCTTCCCACTGAAGTGGTACCTATTTATCTCCTTGCAATTTCTTGCTTTCGAGCTGCTAGGTTGGCAGGAGCTGGAACTAGAGACGGGAGCTCACTCCGTCATGCGGCACAGTCGGGTCTCGAACTGCTGAACTACTAACCTTCCACAGCCTGCAGTCCAGCGTCTTAGCTACTTGAGCCACCGCAGCTTCTGATGTGTATATTTATGCTAACTGGCTATGCAGTATTTTAGACTGTTTAGTATTTGTAACAAATGCCTAATAAAGGTTCTTTCATGAATGAAAATCCAGGTGGGTAGCCATGTTGGT